CCCGCCTCAGCTCCGCCCCGCCTCAGCTCCGCCCCGCCTCAGCTCCGGCCTCTCGGTTAGTACCTCCTGAGAGCCCGCTGGTCAGCTCCAGCTGCTTCATGCTCTGAGGCATCAAGAAGTGCTTCTGGCACTCCAACATGGATGATAGACCTGCTCTCCCCAAATGCCCACCCCCTTTATCACCCCACAATCCACCGCCCCACAGGACAGCCCAAAGCAAGTGGGTTTTTTTGTTTGTTTTTGTTTTTGTTTTTTTTGTTTTTCGTTTTTGTTTTTTATTGAGACAAGGTTTCCAAGGTTTCTCTGTGCAGCCTTGTGTGTCCTGGAACTCATTCTGTAGACCAATCTGGCATTGAACTCAGAGAGTTGCCTGTCTCCACCTCCTGAGTGCTGGGATTACATGTATGTGCCATCTTCCAGCAAAAGTGGCCATTTTAAAAGCTCACTGAGTACCAGTGCTTCTCAGAACACTACCAGGCAGTTACCTCATGTAGAGTGAACTCTGTGAGCACTGTGTTCCCACGGACTGCCCTGTACTCCATGGCAGGTGTCATGGGATAGCTTCGGGATCCACTTTCCTCACTGCAATGGTATGGAATCACCTGAGAACCTTGGTTTAGACACCTGCCCCTGCCCTCTACCACCTCCCTACCAATTCCCCTCCCCCTGCCCCCCCACACCCGCACTGCCCACTTTTCTGTGCCTTTTCTTGCATCAGCCCATTTTATTCATCTCTTGTGGCCTTTCATTCCAGCCACAGAAACAAAATGAGAGGAAACAGATCATAGATCGGGGAGAGACATGAGTCACCCTTCTTCTGGGGTTTAAACTGTGCCCAGTCTCTGGTATCAGACAAAGCTGCCAAATGCCCATGTCATTCTCGTGTGCGTGTGCGTGTGCATGTGCGTGTTTGTGTATGTCTGGAACTCAGGACTTAGCATCGTGTCTGGTATCCAGCAGTGCTCAATGCCATTCATTGAATGGATAAACAAGACTCGATTATGTGTGGATAGTAATAACCGGGAAAACGTAGTAAGCCTAGGCTGAGTGTTCTTCTAAGTGTTTCACAGACATTAGTCTGGTCATTAAAACGATCCTATGTAGCAGGTCATTGTGTCATCTATACTTTGTTGACACAAAGAGAAGTATGTTAAGCCATGGTCACGTGGCCGGTGAATGACTGAGCTCTGATTTGAGCCCAGGCAGCCAGCCTTCACAGTCCACACCCTTACGTTCCATGCTGGAGGCCGAGACATAATCCTCACCCTGCTGGGGTATTATAAAGATTAAATGGAAGTGTCTAGCACAATCTAGGCCTGAGACTGGGACTCCTGCACACTGTGGAAGTCAGCAGGGAGCTAACCAGAGGTCGTAGATGCATCTGCTTCAGCTGTCATGTGGAGTAAGGGAAGCTCAGAGTAAGAGCATCCCCCAGTCCTGAACGGGATTCTCATTCTTACAAATTGAGAATCAACCCAGGGGCTCTAGGCCCCTGATTGAGTCAGCCTCTGATTGCGGCTGCAGTAATTATAGCTGCGCAGTCCCCCTGGGCCCTGCACGTGGAGGCTCTTCTCCATGGTGGGCTGGACGCCATCTTTACAGAGACTTCGACTGTTGCTGCTAAGGTTCTGATGAGCCCTCCAAGCCCACAGGTTCAGATGACAGTTGCTGATCTGGAAGGTAAACCGAGGTCCAGTTAGCTGTATCTTACCCAGAGGCGCACAGCTGGAATATATCAAGGGTGTGGCAACTCCGTAGTGCTAAGGAAGACATGTTGGGGCCCTTGGGTCAAGAAAGACTTGTGCACCTTAGACTAGGAGACCCTGAGAGAGTGTTTGGCAGGGCTGTGTGGGATGGGGTCAGATTTAGGACATAGAAAAGCTTTAGAACAGGCTGGCTTCCGATGAAGACATGGAGCAGGAGGGCCCTAGCAGACTGCCAGGGACTTAGACCAAGTAGCAGGACTGGTTGGTGTATGACCTGTGTCACCCTTAGCTAAGCTGTGCATGGATGTCTGTCTCTACAGCCAGTGAAGAGTGTCCTGCCGAGAAGTTAAGCTGTGGACCCACCAGCCACAAGTGTGTGCCTGCCTCGTGGCGCTGCGACGGAGAGAAGGACTGTGAGGGCGGGGCTGACGAGGCTGGCTGTCCTACCTGTGAGTCCAGGGCCCATGGTCAGGCGGCCTCAGGAGCGCTGACCTCTTCCTGGGAGGGTCGGTGGGAAGGGATGGATAATGATAAGAACGCTAGAAACAAACGGCTGGGCACTAGGAGACATTTTCTTCTTTCATCCCCATGACCACCTCATGAATAGCCATTACCATCCCCATTTAATGGATGAGGAAACTGAGGCTCAGACAAGGGAGGAAACATGGCCAAGGCTGAGGGGTGGAACTGAGGTTCAAATTCAGGTCGACACACAGCTTTTTTTTTTTTTTTTTTTTTTTTTTTTACCATGTCTGACATCTGCTCATCCATTCTAGAACTCTACCGTTTCTACTGATCTCCGAGTAAGAGCAGGGGGACCAAAAACTGGGCTGTGTGAAATGTGTGGCGTCTCTGGCCAGGGCACTAGCAGTACTGGGGAGAGGGCATGTGCAGACAGATTCTCAGGGTGTGAAGGACGACTATTGCTGAAATCTCAGACTAGGGGGCGCATGTCGCATGCAGAGAAGCAGCCTCAGCGGGGACAGATGGAAGTGGTCGTTGGGATGGTTCCACATGGCTGAACTTCAAACACAGGATTATCTCCTTCTCAGAGAGCAGTCCAGCAAGGTTTGGGTTGGGGGTGTGTGTGCCGGTGGTGGGGGAAGGCTCATTTCACTACTCTGGGTACCTACAGTGTACCAGGTCTGGAGTAAGGTTCTGAAAGGGACAAGAAGGTGATGCCACAGTCCCCTGGTAACTACAGACTGACTGTGCTACTAGGGCTGAGATATACATGGTCATCCGTGAATGCAGGGCGCTTGCCTGTCCCTGCCTCTCCAAGCATCTCCCCACTCCCCACTCTCTCCCTAGCCACCTGTCCTGGTCTAGGAGCCAGGCCATCTCCTCTTACGGCTTCTGAGATCCCAAGTGTGGAGGGCTGACGGATGAAGCAGGAAGCGTGGGGATGGAGGCGAGGGTCCTGGCTAGGGTCTACACTTTAAAGCTTCAGTGATGCATCGGCTTCAGCTGGGATAGTTCTGTGAGAACTCATCCTCCCCTGACAGCCACCCCTAACAGCCGTGTAGACACATGATCCTTCCAGTGTAAAGCTACTAGCCACCATTGCAGGTGGGTAGGGCATTTTAGACAGGGACATTTCATGTTAATTAAAGAAACCAGAGCTGAGAGAAAGGCCTATGGGCTTGCTATAGCTGGGACAGGGAAGGGAACTTTCCTTCCAGTTCTGTTCTGCTTGTGAATGCAGGGAGTGGGGCCCTGGCCTTGGTGGTGGGATCTGCCAGTTACTGTCAGTGCCAGAACCTCTCTGGGAATCAATCCATTGTTATGAAGCACTTCCTATCAGGACTCTCAGAAGATGGAATCTTCTCTCTCTGGGCTTGTATAAACTGTCTAGACAGGCAAGCGGGTGTCAGCAGCAGCACCTTGGGGGCTGGGATACCAGAGAGCATGTGCTTTCTCCTCTGGTGCCACCACATCCCAAAAGCCCAGAAGGGGGAAAATGCAGCCGTCAGGGTCTTGGTAGAGCTGTCAGAAGAACATGACATGATCTGCTGACACTGTAACACCGAAGACATCACTTTATTTTATGTTCAGTAACAGTGAAAATTGACATCTTGTCACCAGAAAATAGAAACGTGGGCTCCGGGCGCCCCCATGTGGAGAGATACGGAGCTGCTACCACCATGTTGCTGGAGGTCATAGGCAGCATTCCTGACCCCCTTGAGCGGTGGTGGGGGTGGGGTGGGGTGGCTCTAAAGAGGGAGAGGAGGCAACAACCCAAACCAAACCAACCAACCAAACAAAAAAGCTGAGAGGATGAGTCAGAGTAGACGGAAATGCTCCGGAATCCAAGTTCTGGTTCTCTTGTCACGTGATCATGAGCAACGTGCTCCCCCTCTGAGCCTCAGGTTTCCGGTCTTTAAACTAGCAGCTGGGCTGGCTGGTCTCTAAGGTCTTTCCTGACTTCAAACCAGCCTATCATGATCATGAGACCAAGCCCAGGCCGCAGACAGGATCAGAACCTGTTCTTTAATTACTTCATCCACACCCTGCAAGGGACCTCCAAGCCTGTCTTTAGAATAACGGAGAATGAAGGGCATGGCACCCAGATGTATGGGTGGCGGAGGCAGGCTGGGGCAGAGGGAGATTTCTTACCCAGGGAATCGACACATGTGATGGATAGAGGTGGAATTTGGACCCATGCAGTAGAAGCACTCTGATTTAGAACTAGAAGCAATGGTAGGCTGCAGTGGGTTTCCCAGAAGATGGAACAACTTGAACAAAACCCTGGAGTGGAACTGTGTGTCCCGGGCCTAGCAAATCATCAAGGTTGTCATAGCTGGGGTATGTCCAGGAGTGAGGTGTGGGGACCAGGGTAGTAGATGCTAGGGAATTAAGTAGTCTCTGCAAGCTATATACCCTACTATGCCACAAACGGACCAGACAGACCCCTGCCCTGTCGTCTGGTGTAAGTCATGTTACAGATGATTTCCTATTCTTCAAGATAAAAGTGCTCTGCAAACTTAGAGCCCCTCTCTGCCCCACCATGTACTTGGTGAAGCCCAGAGACTCAGAAAGGGCAAATGTGGTCCAAGGGCAGCTCCCCTTTCAAGTCTCCAGCAGGACCTATTCCAGCCTGTAGGCGAGGGTCAACTCCCTGTACCCCCTGTAGCAGAAACAGCGGGCTGGGTCACAAGGGATGGGATCTGGCCGGCCGACCGGCTCTCTGTCCCGCGCAGTGTGCGCCCCGCACGAGTTCCAGTGCAGCAACCGCTCTTGCCTGGCCTCTGTGTTCGTGTGCGATGGCGACGATGACTGCGGTGACGGCAGCGACGAGCGCGGCTGCTCGGACCCGGCCTGCCCGCCCCGCGAGTTCCGCTGTGGAGGAGGTGGCGCCTGCATCCCTGAGCGCTGGGTCTGCGACCGCCAGTTCGACTGTGAGGACCGCTCGGATGAGGCGGCTGAGCTCTGCGGGCGAGCGGGCCAGGGGACCACGGCCACGCCAGCAGCCTGCGCCCCTACCGCCCAGTTCACCTGCCGCAGCGGCGAGTGCATACACCTGGGCTGGCGCTGTGACGGCGACCGCGACTGCAAGGACAAGTCTGACGAGGCCGACTGCTGTAAGCCCCCTCCGTGTCACCCAGCCCCACCCAGAGCCTGCCGATATGACCCTCCTACTGGGAGTACAAACCCTGCTTTAACAGAGACTTTACATTGGGAGAATGAAGTGACTTGCGGGAGGTCACATGGCTGCTAAGGAGTGGAGCTCAGGTCTGACCCCAGAAGCCAGGCTTCTTCACTGGTACCTTTGTCTCTGCTGTGTGGCCATTTCATCACACCTATTGCTGCCCTTTCCTGTTCCAAGGAGTCTGGCACTGGTTCCCCACTCCCCACCCCACCCCCACCTCTGTCATACCGACCCTGTCAGAGTCTGCTTACTGCCCCGGCTATGTTGGGAGCCTTCCAGGACTTTGGCAGATCCCCGCTGCTCTCTCTTACAGGCACAACTCACAGTGTGCTTTCTTCATCTGTGCGTTTCCCATCTCTCTGCACCTGAGCTTCTGGAAATGGGCTCTTAGTCTCCGGGCTCCCCACCAACACCCAGCACAGTGCCAGGTTCAGGAAAGGTTGACTGAGTGGACCAAATCACTAAGTCATGAGCGCCAGGACTCAGTGGAAAACCTCATGTCTGTGCTGAGGTGGTGGACAGGGAAACAGGAAACTGGAGTGCTGTGTGACCTTTGGCAAGGCTTTCCCCCTCTCTGAGCTTCAGTCTCCCCATGTGTACACTAGAGATGTTTTGGGTAGGTGTCCTCTGAGGCCTCCTAAGCTCAGCCACTGGTTCATTCTTTCCAGGGGCGGATGGGACATGAGGTGGTGGGAGAGCTGTCCTGGTGCTGCATGGGTCCTGACCACCGCTTGCCCTGTCTCAGCAGCACCGGGACCCTGCGGCGAGAATGAGTTCCAGTGTGGGGATGGGACTTGCGTTCTTGCAATCAAACGGTGCGACCTGCAGCGGGACTGCCTGGACGGGAGTGACGAGGCGGGCTGCCTGCAGGGTGCGTGTGCTCACGGCAAGGGTCCTGGCCTCTGAGGAAAGGCCAAGCTCGGACAGAGCACAGCTGGGGAGTTCTTCCCTTCATCTTTGAGATGATTTCACCCCTTCAGTGTCCCTTGCCCATTATCACTGGAATTCCTTCCCATGCGGGTCTGGGGGTCCAGGAACTGGACTTTTGATTAAGGACTTTGTAAAGGCTGAAGAGGACTAAGGGGGCCAGACAGGGCACTGCGGGGAATCTAGCCTCCCGCTGTGTCTGCACCCCAGCTTCCTTACTAGTTCCCAGACTGAGCAGACTGAGCCTGCCCCCCCCCCCCCAGTCCCTCTCAATCTCAGGTGGCTCTGTTGTTCACTCCCTGCCCTACGGGGATAGAGACCCTACCCACCTGCCATCTGGGAGCATTCATTTCAGAGTGGGCAATGGGGCAGTATATCATATCCCAGGCTCATGGGGCAAGCATTCCCCCTTGGGACTCCCAGGACCCTAAGTACCCCCAGGATAAAGACCCTTGCTTGTGTGGATATGTGAGGATTTGTCCTGTGAGAAGACTGTGGTTCCACTGTCTGTCCTAAGGTCCCCTGAGAGACCTCTGAACTCTGTGCATTTTCTGTGGGTCCTGCTTGGCCCTGCCCAGCTGTGTGCTTCCCACCCTCTCACAGGCACTGTCCACTCTCTTGTCTGGCCCGACAGAGTCAACTTGTGAGGGTCCCCGCAGATTTCAGTGTAAGAGTGGCGAGTGCGTGGACGGCGGGAAAGTGTGTGATGATCAGAGGGACTGCCGGGACTGGTCGGATGAGCCTCAGAAAGTGTGTGGTATGCTATCTGTCTACACCTAACAGCTGAACTAATCCTGTCACTGTGCTCCCTCCTGCACCCAGGCTGGAGGCCCTCTTACCCTCTAGACCATGTGCTCTCCTGTAGCCTCACATCGGGCCCTTTGCCACTGGGATCTCTTGGTCTGTGTTGCTGCGAAGCCCCAGGCCCCTCTCACAGTCCACATGCTCAGATGGGGCTGCTTCTCACAAAATCGGCCCCTCATTTCAGCCACATACAAACTGAGTGTGCGACCTCTGCAAGTTTCTCCCTCCCTCTGTGCTCCTGCCCTGCTGATCTAGCCATGGCCTCGGCCCCTGAGCTCTTCCAGTCCTTGGCAGGACACCATACAAAGTCAACAATTGAAGGAAGCAGCCAGGGAGCCTGTTAGGAGCATAGCCCAGCAGCGCAGGCCAGGCCTGGATGGGAGTAGAGCCCTCCCAGCAGCAGGCAGTGTCAATGTTTTAAATCCTGAGAAGCTGTAACTCCTGAAAGAGCCCAGAGTTGCAGTCTAACTAGAGAGAAGTAGGGTGAGCCAGCTCTCCAAGGACTAGTGAGCAGAGCAGAGGCTCTGATGCAGGTGGAGCAGAAGCCATGAGTGTGCAGAGGAGTTTGTGAGCCATCTTACTTGTCTCAGGCCAGAATTTAGAGAATTGGACAAAGGAGCCCCAGAGAACAGAGTCAGATCGGCCCCTCCTTGTCCTGTCTCCTGGAAGACCACCTGCATCTCTCCTCCTGGGTACACAGAGGAACAGCGTGCCCCAGAGCGCCCCAGCTTCTTTGCTCCCCTACTGAAGATGTAAATGAAGTCAGACTGAAAGAAAACCTAGTTAAGCAAAGCTCACTGAGCCTCTGCCTGGGCTTGCAGGAGACAGAGACCCCACTGCCTGCAGGCCTTGCCTGGAAGAGATCCAGAAGGGACTCCTAGGAAGGGGGAGAGGGAGTCAGGAGCAGCTGAACCTGCTTCTCCAGAACACTCCTATCTGTGGTTATCCAGGGACTTCTAACCTACCAAACTCTCTAGCCTCATCTTCTGCATGACTTGTCAAAGAGAGATACATGCTTGTTTGTGTCCACGTGTGTTCTCTTTTTGTTTGTGCTGGTGAGAGACAAGTGTCCATACCCACATCTCTGAATTACTGCACTCATGCATTTCTGCCTGCATTTCCATGTCTGTGGAGCCTGCAGACCTGTCTCTGCCTCTGCACAGAAGCTCGTGTGTGTATGCATGACGGTGTGTGCATGTGTGTATGCATGACGGTGTGTGCATGCAGGTATGGACCGTGCTGGGGGAAATGACATCAAATGCTACTCAGGCCTCCAGCCCCTTCCTTCCTCTCTGGGCTCCACAGAATTCGAGAAGGACAGAGACTCCCTTTCGCCCTTCCAAAGATGATCAGGGATAAACTAATGGGGGTCTCCTAGCTTTTCTCTCTCAACCCATGTTGGCCTTGAAGCACTCCGTGCCTTCTTTCATCAGAAGTCACATTCAGGTTGAGCTCTTCCTGGGCACTACCACCCTATACATACCCCGTCCCTAAGTGTCCAGTAAATAGAGCTGCAGATTGCTGTGACCTGCAAAGAGAGAGGAAGGAAGCAGGTGGGTGGGTGACTGAGGCAGCGAGTGGACGGAAAAACATGAATGGATGGATGGTGCTCATGGAATAATGAAACCCAAAACAGGTGACAGAGGCTGTGAGTGACCAAATGGTTCCCAGGGGGCTCTCCCAGCAACCAGTCTGAAGCCACCATGGCTGAACAACCTCCAGAAGACTGGGGCTCCCCAGGGATGGGCCTGATGGAGCTACTCCCGGTCTCCCAAAGTCATGGGCTCGCTGTGGTCTTGTTCTTTCAGTTGCACCAACATTCCTGGGAAACAGGAGGAGGCCCAGGGGTAAAGGGGACATTCCCTAAGCATGGCTCCGGCTGGAGGTGGGGATGCCCACAGCTGTGCATGGCCTGGGATGGGCAGCTCCAACCAGCTGGATGCATGGGCACGCTGGCTCCGCTCAACTCTGCTTTGCTTGGCTGGAGTCACAGTGCATGAACCTGATGGGCAGAGGGGTTGCTATGGTACTTTCTCCTGGTTTGTGGGATTAACTTTCTGTGATTCTGAGCTCAGAAGGTACGGTGAGAACTTGGTAAGCCTTGGTCCTGGCCTCCCCTAGGACCCTCCGAAGGTGGTGAGGGAGCGGAGAATGAGGGTCCAGACCCAGAGACCTCTTGGCATCCCTTCACCCTTTGCAGCATTTGGTAATCCTGGTCTAGGCTTGTGGCAAGGTAGATCAGTGAGACAGGTCAGAGAGGAGTTGAAAAGGCTCCATCGTGTAAATCCCGGTAGGAGAGAATTTTGACTTGGCCACAGGCATATTTAAAAGAAAGTGTGCCCTCAGCTGTAGCAAGTGAGGACATTCTGCACTGACTTCTGCCAACTGATCAACTAATTCTGGGCCCTGCCTTGAGAAAGCACACAAATAGTAGGGGGCCAGAAGTCGGCAGTTTATGGAGATCTGAGGAAGCCCCTGCACCTTGGCTGACCCCACAGAGCAGGGCTGGGAAGAGGAGAAAAGCTACAGGAGGCAGTTCCTGAAGGAAGAGGTTTGTAAGGGCAGCAGCATTCCAAAGTGGCATCACCTGCCTCCGGAGCCCTCGAACCTGGAGATGGATGTGCAGAGGGATTCAGAAAGCACTCGGGATAGTCCAGGGGTGAACATTATACATGCGAGCTTAAGCTTAAAGGATAGAAGGAAGAAGGAACTATAAAGAATGTGTTTGTGAAAGACCTCAGCGCTCCAGGTGAGACCTAGCTGCCTCTAGTATAGTAGTGGACAGAGCCCGGGCCTAGGAGGACAAGGACCTGTGTTTTCTTTGTTCACTGGCCCTGTCTAATCAGGATGCCTGCCCTCTGATCTCCTCCTTCCCAGTCACCTGGCTATTGGTTCAATGCCGCTTCCTGGTCTCCTGGTTGTGGGTGTCTGCTGCCCCAAGGCTTTGCTTTGCTCTGGGACACTTCCCTGCCTGTCAGCAGAGTTCAGCAGCCTGTGTCCCTCCCCAGGGCTGAACGAGTGTCTGCACAATAATGGCGGCTGTTCTCACATCTGCACGGACCTCAAGATCGGCTTTGAGTGCACATGCCCAGCAGGCTTTCAGCTGTTAGACCAGAAGACCTGTGGTGGTGAGCCCTCCCCCATCTACCCAAGCACATGCAGAGCCTCCTGCTAGTTCTGACTTCTGGTCTTTTCCACAGACATTGATGAATGCCAGGACCCAGATGCCTGCAGTCAAATCTGTGTGAATTACAAGGGCTACTTTAAGTGTGAATGCCACCCTGGCTATGAGATGGATACCCTGACCAAGAACTGCAAAGCTGTAGGTACGGACTTCCTAAAGGATAGGGAACAACTCTGGACAGTCTACAAAACACCAAACAGCCACATATGTGAGGAGCAGTTAAATACACATGTGTGCGTGTCTGCACACACACACACACACACACACACACACATACACAGGGAAAGCAAATGGGTCATACACAGTGCTCAAAGTATAAATGAACATCACATATATGATGCACTGCATGCTAACACCCACAGGCATGGTTAGAATCACTCATGATAGCCTTCAGTTCACATTAGCACAACACAATATATAGGCACAAGCTCGGACCACAGAGCCAGTATAGGGAGTCCTGGACTTGGGAGTCTGTACCTAATAGAAAGTAGAGCTTCTGCTGCATGCTGGTACTCACCATTCATCTGCCCTTCTAGCCTGTGAAGTAGGGACCATCATCCCCACTTCATAGGGAAATGAACCTCTCACTCAGCAAATGAGGGGTAGAAACCTGGTCTCCAGGCTCCCTGCTTTCTCCATTGACACTGCTTCCTTGCATGGCAGCTGGCAAGAGCCCATCCCTGATCTTCACGAACCGTCATGAGGTGCGGAGAATAGACCTGGTGAAGCGGGACTACTCACGGCTCATCCCCATGCTCAAGAATGTTGTGGCACTGGACGTGGAAGTAGATACCAATCGAATATACTGGTGCGACCTTTCCTATCGCAAGATCTACAGGTGAGTGTCCTACACGCTGTGGCCACGCATGAGAGGCTTGAGGGAGGGGCAGTTTACAGAGAAGAAGCCGGGCCTCTGCCTCTCGGGGCAGAGTTGGGCTTGACGAGGGATACAGAATCACAGCTGGAGTAGAAGTACCAGGACTCATTAACCTGTGGGGAAACAGCCTTGAGTCCACATCCTAGACTGTGTCTGACCCCTGGTGGCCTAGCTGCCAAGTGCAGGACAGAGGAAATGAGGAAAGGGAGAAACCTCCCTGGGTTCTCCATGGAGAATTACAAATAAGGCCACATACCTGTGTTCTGGACCCTGGGGACTCAAGGTGACTAAGATCTGTCCTCTGCCTGGAGGATCCCACCTGGAGGGCCACTTTTTTGCAGTCATGAGTTCTAAGGGGACCTCTGACCCAATTTGACAGTCGGGAAAACTTCCTGGATGGTAGTACCCAGTCATCACTGGGTGCTCCAGTCACTGACTGTGACTTAGCGCTTGGGAAACTTCTTGGACACGTGAGAAAGTTCTCTCCCTTATCTGGCCTCCCTGCATATCTGGGCCTCCTTGGAGAGTTAATGTTCTTGTTTTGCCCTTGAGATCCACTTGGCAAGACTGCTGATAACCGGGCATTGGGTAGACACTGAGTCGCTGCAGAAGGAAAGATGGGCTAGGTGGGTGGGTGGATGAGAAGACAGAGGCAAACTCCCAAGTGTGATTCACTGACATCTGGATTCCTACCTACCCACAGCACGCGCACGCGCGCGTGCACACACACACACACACTGAGTTCATGCCTGCACACACAGAAGCAGCTAGAGTCTGTCTAGCAAGTGTGACTGGGAAGCAGGATTTAGTAAGAGCCTGGGAATGGGGCTGGATGAGGCGTTACCTGAATTAACTCACAGGTTAATTGGGGGGGGGGCAGAAACCACAGCTGTGCTCCTCTTTGAGATGGGACACATGGGAGATCAGGGATTGGGAGCTGAGCAGTCTGTGACTGAGGGACAGGAATGGGGACTCACAGTTTGCGATGCATTGAGTATAGGTGCCCCCCATGTGATATCTAAGAGTGCGTTGCAGCCTGGATCTTGAGGGAATTGCCAGGATTGCAGAGTGAGAATTTTGGATGGCAGTGGGCAGTATGGAGGTAGTAAGATGGAGAGAGTACCGTGGGGGTGGGGATGGCAACCTGACACCTCCTGTGTGCTTGTGTAGTCAACCTCCTGCAGATTCTCTTCACCTCACCTTTGTATGTCATAACGTCCCCTCAGTGCTCTCCTTTCCTTTCCTCCTTGAGACCATCCATTCCGCAGCTGCCACAGTGATCTAACGTTCCCAGCTATGTCCCTGGACTCATTTGGTTACCTGTCCTACCCTTGCCCCAGGTTACAACCCAGTTCCTTAGCAGTGTACCCAGAGCTGTCAGGATGCGGTTCTCGCCTGCACTTATTTCCAAATTTGCATCCCATAACCCAGCTCTGCCACACCAAACACTGCATCCTTTCCGAACGCGTGGACTTCTATGCTCTTGTATACTGGTTTCTTTGTGTGTTTGGTTTCATCTTTGTGCCACTGGTGATCTAGTCCTTCAAGACTCAACCACAAAGGCTTCTCCCACTCTGCAGGACGGTGCAGTCTCCATTCCCCTGCTGCCGTAGCTTCCACACTGCATCGTGCCTGCCTGCAAGCTTCTTCCCCCACTAACTGACCTCCTTCAGGCCAGAACCTAGCTGATTCAGCCCGTGTCCCTACCCTGGTGGCTCAAGGAATGTGTTGAGTGGAGATTAGCCAAGTTCCTCTAGAACCCACTGCCATGGCCCAGAGAGAAGACAAAGAGGGGAGGGTTGCAGAGGCAGTGCCACATGGGCCCGTGGGTGGAGCACCTGCCCATGGCCAGCCCTGCTTTCTCCTAAGCGCCCACATGGACAAGGCCAGCATCCCGGACGAGCAGGTGGTCCTCATTGATGAGCAGCTGCACTCTCCAGAGGGCCTGGCGGTGGACTGGGTCCATAAGCACATCTACTGGACAGACTCAGGCAATAAGACCATCTCAGTGGCCACAACCGACGGCCGCCGCCGCTGTACTCTCTTCAGCCGTGAACTCAGCGAGCCCCGAGCCATTGCCGTTGACCCCCTGAGAGGGTGAGTAGCCCCACACAAACCTTCCATTCCACCAGCAAAGGTGCTCAGTTCTCATGTGTCTGTTACAAGAGCTGTCAGAGGTTCTAGAAGCCGGGTGGCCAGTCAGACACAGGGAAAGAAGTCCAAATGGCCCACATCCTATTTGTCCTCAGGCAAGATATTGGGCATTAGTCACCAGAGATCACCCTGGACTCTTGGTTCCCTCACTGTGAAGCTGAAATGGACTGTCTTGGAATGCTACAGGACCAGAGATCCCTGGTAGCTTCAGGGGTAGAGGCCTTTCTTCAGGCTTCTGTCCATAGGTATCTGGGCAGCTGCTTAACCATTTTCGGGGACAGGGAACTCATTATTTTTTTTCTTGGACCCTATTTCATTATGAAACACCTCCCCATTACACGGTGGAGTTTTCCCTCCCTCCCAAATAATCCCAAATCTGTCTCCCTACAGCTTTCCCCAGTGGGAGTTACAGAAGCCATACACTCAGTGCAGCCAGTAAGATTCGAGGACTCAGGTCCCTGGGGGCTGCTCTGCACCTAGCTCCTCAGCTTTCCCCACCCCTGCCCCGGCCCTTGTTGCCCGGAATGTGGGCCCCTGTAACCTAGGCTGCTTTACTCTGGCCACATCTGGGTGGGACTGAGGACCTCCCTTAATGGAAATGTTCTTCTTCCTCATGAAAGGGTGAATTAGCAACAGTGACCTACTGTCATCTCTAGTAGAAACGAGGGTCCAGGAGCAGGGACAGTCTTCCACTTTTGTCTCTAAATCGGGAGAGGTGTGTAAGGCCCTTCCCACACGGATGCTCCAGGGTTCTGGTGAGAGCCGCCACAGTGAGAGCCGAGCTCACAGGCCATTCAGCTGAGACTGAGTAGATTATGGGCAAGTTGAGCTTCCCTAGGCTCGCATGACCTGAAGGGTAAAGTGCCCGTTCTGAGATTTGATAGTTCCAAAGGAGTTCACAGGTTTGCCCATTAAATATAATCCCCAACTATTCAGTGGATCACTGAGCCTTTGTGACTCAGATACTCCTCTTCTGTCTTTCAGGTTCATGTACTGGTCTGACTGGGGCTTCCAGGCAAAGATTGAGAAGGCTGGACTCAACGGTGCAGACCGGCAAACACTGGTTTCAGACGACATTGAATGGCCCAATGGAATCACCCTGGGTGAGCCCTGTCTGTCTACATGAGTTGGGAGCCTGCACTAGAACTGATCCTGACAACTGTTTGTGGACCCATGGGTCTTGTGTCAGAGTCCCCTCATGGTGGCCAGTGTCTTTGTTCCCTTAGGCTTGGAATGTGGGTAGGGAGGAGTGCAGTGGAGAGGAGAGGCAGCTGCAATAACCACTGTCTGACCTGATCCCTCTTCCCCAAGACTTGCTGAGCCAGCGTTTGTACTGGGTGGACTCCAAGCTGCACCAGCTATCCAGCATTGACTTCAATGGAGGCAACAGAAAGATGCTGATTTTCTCCACTGACTTCCTGAGTCACCCTTTTTCGGTAGCTGTATTTGAGGTGAGCCCCATAGGGGTAGGCATGACCCTATCAGGAAGCTGAAACCCAGAAAAGGCTTGTTCAAATAGGATGCTTCCAGACTTGTCCAAAGGGAAACAAAAGAACCGGGAAGCCGGCTGACAGGTTTGTATAGACTCCAAGAGCTGCCTCCACAGAGGCTCAGCCTCCCAGTCTGCCTGGCAGCCTTTTCTGTGCTCTTCAGATAATGTCACATAGGTAAATCACTCAGCACAGATGCTTCCTCTCCACATCCTCAGGTCCTGTATCTCACATACAGAAGGAGACGGGGAGAGAGGAATATGCGTGTCCTTAGAATCATTTAGTGTAGGGCATACCCTTAGAGATGCTATGCAGTTAGGCTCATTTTTGTTGACCTTTGCCAAATCCTGGGGTCATAGAAATAAAATAGATGCTACCCAAGCCCTTAGGAAGCTCCCAAGAAGGAAAAGAATCAAGAAGCCTGTCTGCTTTGACCTTAACATCCTTTCTTTTGGGGAAATAAGGAAGCCAGAACCTACCAAAGTTTCTTTGGAAACTAAGCAAACTAGAGAGACTAACCCTGCTGTCCAGGAAAGGCCGAGTAAGGAGGGGAGGTCTGTGGTGGGAAATGGCAGTATTGTCTTAGAGCAGTGTCATTCAGAACGCTTGAAGTTGTGTGCAAAGTATCTCCTCTAAATCCAGCCCCTGCTTCAATTCAAGTGTATGTATGTGTATTTGAGCATCTCCCTGGCATGTGTAAAGTATGTGCATGTGCATGAGTTTGCATAAATGCACCAGAGTAAACGTGTGCGTTCCTGTGTGTGCTGTTTTATGTGTATGTACACTAAAAGGTACTTCAGCATGAGTATGTCTTTAGGAGTCTAGATGGACCTGTGCGGTGTGTCTGGGTCTGTGGACAAGATGCATGGCTGCACCTGTAATTGTAGATTTGCCTACAGATGTGTGTCTAGTCTTTTATGGTCTAACAGTATAGACTTGCGTGCTCCTCCCAGAAAGCCCAACAGCAACTAGCCCTCAGGAACTTACACATTCCTTCTGACCTGACCTTAGTCCCCAGCCACAGGAATGGTACCAGTTGTAGACATCCAACCTTGGTTTTCTTTTGGCTCCAGGAAGTAAGCCTAGCTCAGCAGTACAGAATCACCAAATAATCATCTAAGATAGAAGGAAGCTAGGACAGTGGTTCATCGTCAGAGGCAGAATCCTTTGAAAACCTGTGGCATGGTAGATAGCGCTGAGACCAGTTCATCCTGTCCCTGATTTGGGGCTAGGCCCTAAGCCTGGATGGAATTTGGATTCTGGGCTTCTGATTCTTTACATCCGTATTCCACAGGACAAGGTATTCTGGACAGATCTGGAGAATGAGGCCATTTTCAGCGCAAATAGGCTCAATGGCCTGGAAATCTCCATCCTGGCTGAGAACCTCAATAACCCACATGACATTGTAATCTTCCATGAGCTGAAGCAGCCAAAGGGTAAGTAAGCCTTCCCTGGTCCCCACCTGCCTGTGTCCTCTCCTGCCACTTGACAGGCTAAGTTTCTTTCCATTCATCCAGCATCCCCAGGAATACAATAATCCCTCTTGTTGTAGAGCCTGTTGTTGCATTTTGTCTCATTCTGCTTCAGCCTCTGTGTGAAGCAAGGCTAGGAATGAATTAATCACATAGGCGTCCTAGTTTTGCCAACACTGTATGTACAGAAGCTTATTGTATTTCTCATTCAACAACCGAGGAAACTGAAGTTGGAGAGATAAAACACTGTTAGCAGGTAGAAGAACAAAAATATAAACTCGGACCCACCTGATCGTGTGGACAGGTGACACAGCAGTGCGTGCTCACTTCTTGTACCCATTTTGCAGTACTATGAAATCATGTGTCTCCAGGCCTTACAGTTAGCCGGGTGGCTTATGGGAAACGGTCTAATAATCGTACTGCAGAGCTGTCACGACCAACTGTAATGGGTATTGATTGCCAGGGTAATGGAGACAGCAAGAAGATAAGACTGGTGCCTGATTCTAGTTCTAGAGATTTAAAGTGGAAAAGGATGGCAGGTACACAGAGGAGGGGAAAACAGGGCAAATATCGTGGGGGAGGGGTAGCTTTTGTTTGGGAACCGATATACCTCAATTTAAAGTCTGTCTCCAAAATTCCTAGAGTTGTAACGTGTACATGTGATCTCTGAGCGTAGGCTTCTCTGTCAGTTGGGACCGTAACACCCACCTCTCAGAACTTTAAGAATGACTGTGGGTAATGATAAACTCCCAAGTACTATGCTGGTAGGTGCCCAAGTAAAAGTAGGGAAAGATTTTTGAGGAAGTCCAGTTAGTGAGATCTCATTATTGGTAGACAAGAGGACCTGGCATGGCCTGTCAATGTCCCAACATGCTCTCTGTCTTCTCCTCCCCTGCCATTAGCTGCAGATGCCTGCGAACTGAGTGCCCAGCCCAATGGCGGCTGTGAATACCTGTGCCTTCCTGCTCCTCAGATCTCCAGCCACTCTCCCAAGTACACTTGTGCCTGTCCTGACACAATGTGGCTGGGCCCAGACATGAAGAGATGCTACCGAGGTTAGTGACAAACATTGCCCTTGATTCCTAGGGCACAGTATATTCCAGGTTTTCCTCCATCTTCCCTGGTTGCCTCCCATGTTTGCACATTCGTCTTATTTATACTTCCTCAAATGCGTGAGTTCGTGGCACCTTCTAAGGCTTTCCCATCTCCCAGAAAAGTGTACTGTGCATAAGATGTTTTAAATTCAACTTTCAGGAAGTTTCTGGAATCCCTTGAAAACCTCAAGTTAATGGGCCTGGAGAAGGCTCTGTGGCTGAGAGTACTTGTTGCTCATGCAGAGGACCCTGGTTCAGTTCCTAGCACCTATATACTGGCTTACAGCCATCCTTAACTCCAATTCCAGAAGTTCCAATCCTGACTCCTCCTACTGACCTCTGAGGACACCAGACAAGCTCATGGTGCACAGGCAGAACACCCATAGATATAAAATAAAGTAAACAAGTCTTTAAAAAAGTAAAAGATAAAATAAAGAAAACTTTGAGCAAAGAGCCCTTGATCTCCGCTGACCATTTCTAGCAGATGCCTGTTTAAGCTAGACCTAGCACACTGCATGGATGCCCTTGAGTGCAGTTGTAACTAACGTGGAATAGCACTGCATCCTCATAAACGGGGTCAGTTTCCCAGTCTCCATGCACAGCCACGGCCTTTGCGTTGAGCATTAAGTCTGTTGCATCCTTTATAATGTCCAGATTCAATTGTTTGATGTGAAGAATTTAAACCTAGTGGTGTGACTCTAGATTAGGATAAACTGCTTCTGGGATCCGTGTGTCTACTCCCTCTGGTCTTTTCCAGAGGCCTCTTCCACACTTGCTTCCACAGCACTGCTCCACTGACTCATCTTTGTCAGATCAACATGAGGTGCTAGGACTCAGCTGGAGAGAAGATCATGACCCATTCAGGGGGATGGGGAGAAGTCTCACAAAAGTGGCATTTGAGCTAAGCCCAGAGGATGAGTCCCTACGTGTAACTCAGCCACAATAATTTAGGCACTAAAGCAGCAAACTGCTCTGTGTACATAACCTCTCTGGTCTTTCTCCTCTAGCACCTCAGTCTACCTCAACTACAACCTTAGCCTCTGCCATGACAAGGACAGTACCTGCTACCACAAGAGCCCCTGGGACAACCATCCACGACCCTACCTACCAGAACCACAGCACAGAGACACCAAGCCACACAGCTGCCGTCCCTCACTCAGTTAACATCCCTAGGGCTCCCAGCACCAGCCCGTCCACCCTGAGCCCTGCAACGAGCAACCACTCCCAGCACTGTAAGGAAGTTGGCTCTGTATTTCTCATAACTTGGGCGAGTCCTGTGGAAGCCAGGATGAGGGTCGGGCGTGGCTGGGAAGGGAAATCTTGACAGAACTATGTAATGTCCACCTCTTAGGAGGAAGCAAGGGAGAGAAGGGGCCATCCTGGGATTGAGGAAACGTGTCCATAAGTTTTGAAGGGTCTGGAGGCCACCCATTCATTCTGTTTCTAAGCCTCCTTCTTCCCCTAAAAGGAACAAATAGTAAGCTACACTCTACTTGATTCTCAAATGGTCAGGAGAGGCAAAGGAACCTGGCAGTGGTGGTACAGGAGACAGAGGCAGGTGGATCTCTCTAAGTTTTAGGCCAACCTGATCTACATAGAGCATTCCAGGGTAGCCAAGGCAACATGGTAAGACCCTGCCTCAAGAGAGGGAGCTAGGCAGAAGAGGCATTGTAAGTGGAAGTGCCAGGCTGCCTGGGTGTATGTCAGTGTTTCATGTGTTCCTGAGGTGGGTGTCATCACGTTTGGAAAGCTCTGATCGGAGCTCCCAGCAGCCTTGATAACCTGCCGAGACAGTAATGTCTGTAAGTAGGAGCTGCTTGTGCCTGTTTCCAAACCCTGGGATAAAATTATTAAGCTTAGCCTTCTTAAATCACTGGGAGCAGTGATTGTCTCTGTTGGAACTGCTCTATCTCATTAACCAGAAAATACCTTTATAATTGCCAGGGGGGTTATTTTAAAGGATAAACCCATCTCTTACATTTTTTTTTCCATACATGGCTGGCCCAGAAACCAAGCAACCTGGTGACATTCTTCAGATCAGGGCTATTTTGCCAGCAGAAGCTAGATTCTAAGAATAGACGTTTGAGGCAGCCTGGTGTTTGCAGAGGTGGAATTCCATTTCCTCTCATCTGGGGCAGAGCTCTGAGTGAGTCAGGACGATTTCAAGCACGTCAGAGCAAGGGGGCAGCAGTGCTTCCAACTAGCTTGTTTTCTTCTCTCTCTCTCTCTCTCTCTCTCTCTCTCTCTCTCTCTCTGTGTGTGTACATGTTCATATTTGTGTGTGTACGTGTGTGTGTTGGGGAGGTGTAATATGTGTGTGTGCATGGAAAAGCTGGAGACCAACTTTAGAAGTGTTCTCAATAGTTCTCCATCTTAATTCTTAAGACAGAGTCTCTCACAGAACCTTGAGCTCATTGATTCAGCTAAACTGGCTGGCCAGCAAGCTTCAGGTTTCCTCCTGTCTCTACTTCCTCTGCGTTAGGACTATGGGCACATGGTACCAGGCCTGGCTGCCTGTACTGGGGAGTAGCATTCAGATCCTCATTCTTAAGTGGCAAGCACTTAACAAGTGAGCCATCTCTCCAGCACCCTCCAGTTAGCTAACTTGGTAAGCAGTGCGGCTCTCTGAGTAGTCAGAGTCTCTTGAAGAAACATGGAGAACTAGATTGAGGAGAGGAATTGGAGAATGTTGCCAGTGGCTAGCCATTCCTCTCACATGTCAGAGAGCTCTCGAGGGATCCCAGGCCTAGTGCTTTACAGATGTCTCAGGGAAGAAGGCTATTAGAGTTAGCGAAAAATAGTTACTTAAAATACAGTACATTCTACAATCACTCTTCAGTTTAAGAATGGGCTTTTCTGTGCCTTTAACAACAACAACAAAAATCCTTTCTTTAGAGATGGGGTCTCACTATGTAGCCCAGGCTAGTTTGAATTTGAGGTCTTCTATCCTTACCATCCTGAGTGGTGTATGATATGCATGCACCATCATGCATGGCTAACATACCCTTTTAAATTTAGTCCTTACAATAACTACTACCCCCCGACTACTGTCTTGAATTAGGCAAGGGCAGCTAAACATTATGCTAAATATCTTATATGAATTATCCCATTTAATCCTTAAATCCTACTCTAAGAGGTAGAAAATATTTTAAGATAAAGAAATATAATATACATTATATGTTTAATGTTATATTAACTTCCACAGGGTCACACAGGTAATGTGTAATAGAGATAAAATTTGAACCGAGGAGTCCTTACCCAGAAGCCTGTGCTCCCAATAACACTCTACTTCATTCTAGTGTATCGTGTTTTACTCTCTTAAGAGAATAAGCTGGTAGTGCGTAGGATGGGCAGACCACCACAACAGTGGAGACAATGCATTGGATTTTGGTGGAAAAAGACAACTGACCCCATTAGCAACAAGGAGGCCTCAACTCTCACCTGCCATGCAGCCCCCAGCCTCCAATCATCCTGATGCTATGGGAAAGTATGGGACTTGAGTCTTGAGTTCAAGTCCCAAGTCTGCATATATCAAAATTTAGTTTCCCGGATGTGAAATAACCTGTCCTATTTGCCCCTGGAGTCTTTGTGAAATTTAGTAAGACTGAATTATTACACAGTAACTGGGAGTATCATCCTAGAGCAAGGACAAGAAGAGGTTGGGTGGTCCTTACAGCTCGAGGGCAGATTCACAGTGATGGAGCATCATTCTGTAAATGGTGTTTTTCAGATGGGAACGAAGGCAGCCAGATGGGTTCAACAGTCACCGCTGCTGTCATTGGGGTCATCGTGCCCATAGGTGAGTGTGACTCCAACTAGTAGGGGGTAAAATGATTCTTTGCCCAAGGTTTGGGAAAGGCACTAGAGGGGTAAAGAACTCTGCATGCTACCTGGTTCAGTGTGGCACGCAGTGCTCTTCAACTTCTGCCACTATGTGAGCATCCAGATGCATTTCCCTGCCCACCCCCCTCCACACCCCACACTCACATCATGTGAAGACCAAATGAGTGCTCCTTGGGGACCCAGCCGGTGTCTCTTGCTCACTGCTCTCCCACATGCCGCATTATAGGAAAATATGTATTTGTTAACTGATGAGCTCAGCTGCTTGTCATTTCTTGAATAAATCATCCAGTCTTGTTTTCTTTCTCTTTGGTTTTCTATAATTGTTTATCAAACAGCTACTATGTTCCAAACACTAATAAGGAAAGGGAAGGTAAAGGATAAGTAAGATATGGTTCTATTCCATAGAAATCTAGTTTGGGTCTAGCAAGATAAGTGGGCAAAAACACTTGCCACCAAGGCTGACAGTCCCTGAAGCCCACATGGTAGAAGGAGGGTTGGTTCCTGCAGTATGTCCTCTGGGTTCCACACACTCCACCTGCAAAATAAATAAGTAAATGTAATTTTTTTAAAAAACCAGCAGGACAAACGATACATATAACACAGGTAAGTTGATTATGACATGGCAAGTCCTAAGCGTGAGCTATGTTGCTGTGTTGAGTGGAGATGCCAAGGAGTCTCCTTGGTCTAAAAGGGAAGAGAACAGGTGAGGTTTCCTAATGGAAATAATCTTTGAGCTGAGTTGGCCAAGTGAAGAAGAATCAAGAACAGCGCGAGCAGTGCAGCATGTGCTCCCAGGAGAGGGAGAGGCTTGGAGAGGTAGAGAGCTTGAACTAGGAGTTCAGTATGACAGAGCAATCCTGGATGAGCCTCAGAACCTGGAGTTGACTCATTCTCTCCCATTATGATAGTCGCGTGTGTCCTGTGTATCCATTTTCTTATGCCTGACTCATGTCTTAGCAGAAGTTTTGAGTTGGATTGGCCATTTTTAGGTTTAACTCCTGGGCTAGTTAGTATTACTATTGCTGTGATGAAAAACCATAACCAAAGCAACTTTGGGAAGAAATTACTCGTTGTCTTGTGCTTCCACATCACTGTTCATCATTGAAGGAAGTCAGGACAGGGATTCAAACAGGGCAGGAAGTTGGCGGCAGGAGTTGATGCAGAGGCCATGGAGGGGTGCTGCTTACTGGCTTGCTCCCCATGGCTTGCTTAGGCTGCTTTCTTAGAGAACCCAAGACCACCAGCCCAGGGTTGGAACTACCCACAATGGGTGGGGCCCTTCCCTATTAATCACTAGTTAAGAAATTGCCCTAAGGGCTTGTCTACAGCCTGATCTTATGGAAGCATTTTCTTAATTGAGGCTCCGTCCTCTCAGATGGCTCTAGTTTGTGTCAAGTTGACATAAGACGAGCCAGCACGTCTCCCTGTGGGACTCTGTCCTTTCGTAAGTCACAAACAGCAGTGCTAATGCCTGGTTTATACAATGTGCTGGAGTAGAGGCATGGCAGATACATTGGTGATATAACAGCATCTTGATATCCCAGAGAGGAGGTGAAGGGTCTAGAGAAGGTAGCATTTGAGTTGGTCTTAAAAGGGCTCACCACAAAAGATGGTGGAGAGATGACTAGTCTATTTTGAGTGATCCTGTTCCTCCCATCTGTGTGTCCTTTCTGGTTGCTATGACCCTCACTCAAAGAATCAATAAAGTCAAATGTAATGAATTAAATCATTACATTTAAATATCTACTAATCTGCAGGGGAAAGATGAGTATTATTCCCACAAGTAGTACAGTTAGGTTTTCATAAGATTCCTGGACAGTTATTTATATTTTATTCTCTATGAATTGCCTACTGGCAGTCTCATTATTTTCTTTTGCTTATTTTGTTTGTAGAAATACATAATAAATATTAAAACCTTAACAATATATAAACAAATATTTTCTCCCAATCTGACACTGGATTTTAAATTTGTTCATGGTATCTTTTATCATTCATAAATTTATATTTCTTAAGTCTTAGATCTGTCCATCTTTTGTTCTGTCAGTTCTGTGTTTACTGTCTTACTTAGAAAGGCCCATTTTGTTCTGAATTATTAGAATGTCTCCTAATATTTTCTTCTTCTAACTTAAACTCTTTTTTCAGCGCTTTATATTACTATTTTAGAGGATGGCCTGAGCTAGAGATGTAACTGTTTTCCTTTGTAATTGTTATACCTGTTCTAATCTGCGAATATAATTCTTTATATGTGTGTATAGATTTTCCAAAACCATACTTAGGGACCTCCCCCTGACCTGCGTGATCATCTTTATTGTAGCCGATACATGACAACCTGTATAACCCCCCTCATCCAGTATCTGTCCATTCCCGTAGATTAGTAACACTTTATGAAATGTTATTCTTGTAAACATCTTCTTAAATGTTTGTACATGGCTTCTCTTCTAGATGAACTTTAGAATAATTGTGCCATTTTGTAAAATTTACGATAAGATTTTCATTGAACTTGCTTTGGATATATATACTTAAGTGAGGAATTCACATTTTTACAGTATCAAACTTTCCCATTTAAGACATGGCATCTTTATTTCAGCCTTCAGACACTTTGATAGATCATGTTGCATTTGCCTACTTCTTGTTAGGTTAGTCTGGGCATTTTGTAATTTCTGGGCCACTATGAATATGCTTGTTCTATGACATTTTCTAATTGGTTATTTATTTGGGAATTATGTTTGTTTGGATGGGTGGTTTTTTTGAGACAGGGTTGCAGAAACTCTGTAAGTCAGACTTGCCTGAGCTTACTATAGAGTACAGACTGTCCTTAAACTCTTGATGATTTTCCTGTCTCAGTCTCCTGAGACAGGCGTGGGCCTCACATCTGTATTCTAATGTGTTATTGCTTACTAAAAGGCAGGTTTTTTATATTGATTCTTGAGTAACTAGATTATTTCTAATATTCTTTTACCTGTTTCTGTAATGCTCATTTTCTTGTTGCTATCTTTAATTATGGTATTCTTGCTCAAACAGAAACCCCCCTACAGCATCCTAAATTGTTTCCACCGATATGCTCAGAGCCAGTATGTACTTTGGTGGGCAAGTCTGGGAATCCCCCTTCCTGTCGGCCACCCTGGGTTATCTCTGCAGTCCTCACATGCCCAGCTGAGTTCTCACTCTTTCTTACCATCTGGATCTAACTCTTCGTTTGCACTTCCACCGGTTCTAAAAGATCTGTCCATCAAGTTGGAATCAAACATAGATTCCTCCCTAGGCCTTGACCCTGGGCCTATAAGACACCCCTTCCTCTGTTCTGACAAAGGGACACAGAGTGTGCTAGGTCTTGACTTTCCCATCTGTCCAAGAACCAAGCTGCTTAGTATTTTTAACCAGCCCTGAAGTCTTTGACTCAAACCTGTGTTGTTGCCCTTCTATATCCCTGTCAAGAGACTCTTCATCTGATAGAGCCTTAGAGTTGGAAAGGCAATTTGGAAGGAGGGTGACCTTCTTATGAGTTCCAGTGAAGCAGCATCATTAGGATACAGGTGTAGGCAAGCACTTCTCAGCCATTTAGCAAGTGTCACTGAGCACATACTAGGCATGACACAGAGAAAGAAATAAACACTCAGGGCTCAGTGGTTACGGACGCTGGCTGTTCTTCTGAAAGACTAGAGTTTACTTCCCACCGTCCATGTCAAGTGGCTCACAGCCAACTGTAACACCAGTTCCAGGATAGCAGAAGCCTTTGGCTGGTCCCCACCTATACCTGCGCATGCATGCACATATGCTTGTACTCACAGACCTATGTACATACACATAAATAAAAATGATAAAAATCACCTTTAAAAAAAAAAAAGAAGTTAGCACAGCCCTCAAAAGCTCAGTCCAGTTGAAAGAACAGATATTTTAAAATAGTGTGGAATGGAAACACCTAAAAGGAATGCAGGGTTTTCCCAGAGGCGTTGGGAAAGATGTCACAACAGATGAAGAATTAGTAAAGGAACGCAGTGGTGACATAGAAACGGAGCTGGAAAGCAAGGGGTAATAAAGTCGGGGAGGTGGCAGATGGGTGTTGATGCTGGGCCAGAGCTCCTGGTTGTTCAATGTGATATGGCCTTCCCTCCAGTGGTAATAGCCCTGCTCTGTATGAGTGGGTACCTCATCTGGAGAAACTGGAAGCGGAAGAACACCAAGAGCATGAATTTCGACAACCCAGTGTACAGGAAAACAACAGAAGAAGAGGAGGAAGATGAACTTCACATAGGGAGGACGGCTCAGATTGGCCATGTCTATCCCGCAGTAAGTACTCCTCGCAGCTCCTCCCCACTCCTTTCCATTCGCCCTCCCCTTTCCTCCCTCCCTCCCTCCCTCCTTCCTTCCTTCCTTCCTTCCTTCCTTCCTTCCTTCCTTCCTTCCTTCCTTC